AACAAAGATGACCCTAAGAGAGACATATATATATATATATATATATATATATATATATATATATATATGTGTGTGTGTGTGTGTGTGTGTATATACATATATATATATATAATCTACATGGGTAATAGAAAAAAACAAGATCTCCCGAGTAAATTGGGAGCATGGGGACCTTGGGAGAGGCTTGAAGGGGTGGGGAGAGGCAGGGAGGGAGCAGAGAAAAATGTAGAGCTAGACAAAAGTCAATTTAAAAAAAGAAAAGAAAGAGTGAATCATAACACACAGCTAGAGAGGTTATAGAAAAAAATCCTATTACTGCTATTTGCCAAACTAATACAGCTTCCGACTATATTCTAAATATTTGCCCTTAAATACCCATAAGTAAGTTCAGCTCTCACCCTTCATCAAAGAAGCTTCTCTTTGTGCAGCAGATAGACTTTATTACCCAATCAAAAATGTAGAGAATAGGTGTTTGTGTGATTCCCAGCATGACTGATACACATATAACACAACTCTTATAACCAAATCTGAAGGAACATCACATAAGAGGAATGGAAAGATTGTAAAAGATAGAGAATCAGGATAGGCTTGGTGTACCTATAAATTTAACGATATGTTTACCTATACAAGAACTTTTCAGGATGACACCAAACAAATGACAATGTGAACTGAGGAAAATTTCACACTTAGATGAAAAGTTATAAGCAGTCAATGACTGGAAGTTGTTGTCTTCAGTGACCAGCACTCCTATCATGTTTCTCAATCCTAAGTGATCATCCCTAGACACAAATATAGGTAGCAACATTAATTAGAGTCAGTATACTCTGCGTGTATACATATATAAACGTAAATGCACATATATGATGTGATTATAGAAGAAGAGATCAAGAAATAGAGAGGAGCAGGATGGACATAGGAGGAGTTGCAAGGGGAAGAGAGGTGTAGAAATCATTCAAATACAGTGTATTCGTGTATAAAATTCTCAAAAGAATCAAATTCAAATTTAAAGTAGATATATAGATAAAATTAAAGATCAATTATCATAAATTATAAGTTTAAAAATTGTTAAGTAAAGCCTGGCAGTGGTGATATACACATTTAATCCAATACTCAGGATGTAGAGGCAGGTAGATCTCTGTGAGTTTGAAGACAGTCTAATCAACAGAGTGAATTCCAGGACAGCAGAGGCAGAGAAACCCTGTCTCAAAAAACAGACAAACCAAAATTGATTAGTAAAATAAAAAAAAACAATTGTACATATAAGTTATACATGTCACTGAATGCCTTCAGCACAGCTGTCTTTTTCCTACCACTCTGTGAAACTTACAGTTGAGAACTTCAAGACCCTTTATCTGTCTCCAGACAACAGCTTGCACAATAGAAAGTATCCAGTCACTTTTTAGAATTTTTTTTATAGAGCTATATAGTTTTCCTATTCTCTTCTTTCTCCCTTCTCCCCTTCAATTCTGTCACCTGGACCCCCATACTCACAAATCTCTGGAGCTGTGAATTGTAGTCTGGTTATCCTTTGCTTTGCTTTATGTCTTCTATCCATTGTATAGTTTCTTTTTTTTTTTTTTTTTTTTTTTTTTTTGGTTTTTCGAGACAGGGTTTCTCTGTGGTTTTGGAGCCTGTCCTGGAACTAGCTCTTGTAGACCAGGCTGGTCATTGTATAGTTTCTTGAGTGAGTACAAAATGTGTTTGTCTTTCTGAGTTTATCTAATTTCTCCTAGTCCATTCATTTGCCTGCAAATTTTATGATGTCATTGGTTTTTTTTTTTTTACAACTGCAAAATACTTCATTGTGTAAATGTACCACATTTTCCTCATACATTCTTCAGTTGAGGGGCATCTAGGTTGTTTCCAGGTGCTGGCAATTAAGAATAATGTTGCTATAAATATTGTTGAGCAAGTTTCCTGTAGTATGATTGTGCATCCTTTGAGTATATGCTCAAGAGTGATATCGCTGGGTATTGAGGTAGATTGATTCCCAATTTCTAAGAAACTACCATATTGATTTCAAGAATGGTTGTACAAGATTGTACTCCCACCAGCAGGGAAGGAGTGTTCTACTTGCTCCATATCCTCTCCAGCCTGTCTCCTCATATTTTTTACCTTAGCCATTATGACAGGTGGAAGACGGTAGAGTCATTTTGATCTGCATTTCCCTGATGATTAAGAATGTTGAGTAATTCCTTAAATGTCCTTTGACCATTTGAATTTCTTCTGTTGAAAATTCTCTGTTTATTTCTCCACCCCATTTATCATAACATTATTTATTATTTTGTTGTATAGTTTCTTGAGTTCTTTATATATTTTGGAGCTCTGTTGTAAAGGAGATTGTTTGTTGGTTCCCGGCTACTCAACTCCAAAATAATCACACAGAAACTGTATTAATTAAATCACTGTTTGGCCCATTAGCTCTAGCTTTTTATTGGCTAACTCATATATATTAATTTAACCAATTTCTATTAATTTGTGTATCACCACACTGCTGTGGCTTACTGGCTAAATTTCTGGTGTCTGTCTGCGTTGGGGCTTCATGGCTTCTCTCTGACTCTGCCCTCCTTTCTCCCAGCATTCAGTTTAATTTTTCCTGCCTACCTCTGTTTACACTATCAGGGGCTCAAGACAGTTTCTATATGCATTAGCCAATAAAAGCAACACATGGTCAGTAGAAACTCCCACACCACAGATCAGCCCTCTGTCAGATGTGTCAGTTGGTGATCTTTTCCTATTCTGTAGGTTGTTGCTTTGTCTTGCTTCTCTGATTCAGGAGGTCCCATTTATTGATTTTTGTTCTTGCTGTATGTGCTACTGATGTTATATTTAGGAAGTTGTCTCCTATGCCCATGAATTCAAGGTTACTTCCTATTTTCTCTTCTATAAGGTTCAATGTAACTGGCTTCATGTTGAGGTCTTTCATCTACATGGACTTGAGTTTTATGCAAAGTGATTGATATGGATATATTTGCAATCTTCTACATATTTTGACATACAGTTATGCCAGCACCATTTGTTAAAGTTGCTTTCCTTTTGCCATTGTACCTTTTTGGCTTCTAGTGTTCAAATAAATATGTAATTTCTCTGATGAGAACCAGCAGAAGTTACCCTCACTCCAGTTTTTCATGAGGTGACTTGAACAATTACCTTTTCAATGATATTTGGAAAATAATAAAATAAAATAGACTTGAATCTGCAAAAATGATGAATAAGAATTAAAAAGTAATACATTATGAATATTATTTAAATAATAAGATCTAATATACTCTTAATTTTCATATTTTGGTTGTCTATATACTTTTGATTATTTTGCTATAAGCCTCAATTTATTAATAACTTCACTAGAGATAAAGAGAAAAACATCTATTTTGTATAGCTGATTAAAATTTGTTACTTGTTATCAAAATATTAGAAAAGTCAGAATCTCACCATCCATGATTTGTAATGTCTGTATATTTTAGTATTATCAAAGTTTAAAAACATTCTGTCCATTTTATCTAATAAAATGAACAAAACTTTAGGACGTTAAGGTAGCTGTTGTGACATGATTAGCAGTAAGCACTCTGAAATGAGGTTTTATAATCTGTTCTTTTATCTCTTGTGGGGTGGAGTTGCAGACTGAAGAAATAGAGAGTTGAGCAAGCATTTATCACTGCTCTCCGCAACCGCACTGTGGTTGCTAGGTGACCAGCTGCTCCTGATCCTGTGGCTGTCCTTACCCTGCTATGTCTATGGCAAGTGTGAGTCAAAACAAACCTTTCCTTCCTTAAGTTGCTGTTGTCATGTGTGTTGTCACCACCCACAAGACAAAACACTCTTCTAATAGCTATTGACAATTGGGTCTCTACACACCAGATTAGGAGGCAAACCATCGGAAAATATCTATCTGTATAGATTCAATGTACGATTTGGGGGTATTAGAGCCCTGAGTTTAGCATACCACTCCAGAAAGTTCTTGTGGCCTTAAGAGAACATTTAAATGTCCTGTGCTCAGTTTACCCATTTATATGATTGATAGAGCAACAGTTTAAAAACCCAACACAGTATAACATCATGGGACTATTCGTATTACATCCTAGCTGGATTCTATCATTAACATGCTCAGGAATAACTAAAAATTGTCCTATATTCAAATTGAATACTGTATAGAACAATAATTAACAGCCAGGAGCCGTGTCTTACAATGAGATGCCCCAAATAAAGTTCTGAGTAAAGGACTCTAACTAAACAAAAGAGTAAATTGCTCTCTCCTATTTACATACACTAAGTACAGACAAATACAGTCCACATTCTTGGAGACACCGACTATGGGTGGAAACTGGGAGAGCCAAGCAGATAGAAATGAAGGCAGAGGTAGCACGTTTGGCAGTTAGGCATTGATTATCTGCCTGGATTCTGCTTCATTGCAGCAACATGCTACTGATACTTTTTGTACCCCCACATTCCTTACCATACGATATCTCAATGTTAGAACATCAGCATTTCAAATGTTTGATTTTTGAGTTTTTAGTTTATATCCAAGGAAGCATGGAAAAGTTGGCTCACACATATAAAAAGAATTCCTTGGAAGACTAATTTCGTGAATTTGGAAAAGCAGTTCCCTCCTTTGTGTGATCATCTCAGCAAAGTTTCTTTACTGGTCCCGGGTGTCGGTCCTCAAAACCTTACCTAAGTGAAGTTGCCTAAATGATTTTTAAAAGGGCCTTCATTGCTTTCTGTTGTGTGGTTATGAAATCCAGAGGCGATCACCAGGCCCTGCTTCTCACATTCCGAGAAACCTGAACTTGTTTCCAAAGAAAACAAGCTGGCATTTACAAGAACAATTCAGCAGGTCACAGGCAGGGCACAGCAAGCACAAGGATCAAAAGCCCACGCTGCTAGCTGGACTTGTGGTCTACCCTTTTAGCTTATTTTGCAGTAGTTGCTGGGGAGGGGGGTGGGCGGAGCATCTAGTCATCCTGATTTCTTAAACAGACTTTCAACTTCCCTTTGGAGCAAGTTTTTCCCTGCAGTAACCACAGTTCTTAACAGAGGAGAACTGGATGGTGCTGTACTTCTCTGCGTCCTAGAAAGATCCAAAACATGAGACTATCAGCAAGAATTATCTGGCTTATGTTATGGACTGTTTGTGTAGCACAAGGTAAGTTTTAAACAGATTGCCTTTCTCCATTCTGGCTGAGCCGCACTACAAAACATTTGCAGATAATAATTCTCATAGCAATCATTCAAATGAAGTCTAGAAAATGTGAAGGAATTACTGGTCTGTAGCTTAATGGCTTTTGGTGGTAAGTTTAAATGCTGCAAGCAGTTCATTTGATTGCCGTAATTGATGGTTCCTCCCAGTGTAAAAAACAAACAGTGCTTGAAACATGTTTCTGCAGTCCATAGTTCGGTATAGTCATTTAACTTGTAGTCATCATGAAATACAAACCCCTTCTTTGCATGAGTGTCCCTGAAATACTTCATGTAAAACTAGTGAGAAATATGTTAATGCCTGTACTTAGTGAAAGCTTTTGACAGTTTTTAGTGAGTGGATTTATTTCAGGTATAATTCTAATGCTTCCTGAAATCATTACTAACAACTGATACTGCCGTGGCTTTAAAGTTTTGCACATAAGAACAGCATGTATGATAATAAAAGGATTATAAAATTTGATGCATAATCTTTATATAATATGTGTAAGATCTTATTTATTTGGTTTCTGTTTTCCCATGAGTATGTATGGAACATACAGCTTGCGAAAGTCATTTGTTGACTGGGTAATCGTGAGTGTTGGCACTTCCCCCATGTCAATAGCAGAGGTTCTAAGTCTATCATTCAGTTCAATTCCATCAAAACTGTTCACTTTATCCAATGAAGGGGTTCACTTTCCTAGTTCATGGTAGGTAATTAGTGATGTGATTAGTATTCAATTAGATTTTTTTTTCATTTTGTATTTTTTAAAGGAGGGTGCAGCCAGTTTGTCCGTGAACTCACTGTAGTCCTCCTGTGTCAGCCAGCTATGCACTGTGGTTACAGGTGCTAGCGACTGCGATACCTGACTTAGCACTTGTTATATCAAGTGAATAATACAACGTTAATCATTTTTCCAGACGTTTCACTTGGCAATTTGAGCCTTTGCTGTAGCCTCTACTCACTGAAGAATATTAACACGCACGCTCTTACTGGATATTTACCTCTCCAGATAAGAAAGACAGATATGGTTTCTCAGTTTTATCTTTTAGTCAAATTCTAAAAATTTGTTTAAGAGTGTTTAATATGTTTGATTGAACTTTTTTCAATTGTATTTTCTAATATTATTCCTTGAATTCTAGCTTATAAGTCTTATATTCAGACTCCTTTTAGACTAAAGTATTTATTTCCTTATATATGAAAATATGAGTATTATTAAAAGGAAATATAATTATATTGGCTAGGATTTCTAAAGCACTGTTGATATTATTAAATATAACTCAACCTTTTCTTTTTCCATAAGTCAATGCTTTTGTCTTTTATTTTAATGTTCTACAATCATACTACTTACTGAGATATTTTTGAAGCTATATATAATGAAAAAAGATCTATTTAATTTTTACCGAATTCATAAATTTTAAGAAATGATACAAGTGAAATCAAGCTGTTTATATAAACACTAAGTGGAATTTGAATATTAAAAGGAAGCGCCTTGCAGTTTACATGATAATTTAATATTAATGTTTTAAAATTCTCATACCATGGATCCAGCTGATTTTCTTGTTATTATTGGATATGATTTTTCATCATTATGTATTGAAATATGGTGCCAGTTCTTACTGGTGAGTTGGACAGTTGTACTGCCCACCTCACTGCTTCAAGAGCTTTACAGTAAGAGATGAAGAAGGAGTTTAATATTTAAAGAATTATGTAGAGTAATCTCATGATATTCACAAAGTTCACTCAATGAAGAGAAAGATGTGAGAATTTTCATGGACTTTTAGTGGACACAGAGCTCCCTCTTCATTCTCAGCTTGGCTAGTAGCCTGGGTCTGTCTGAAAAGTAAACAATTTCAACAGCCTATCTATTTTACAGGAATTTCACCATGCAGAATATCTTGGATTAAATATTAAAACACTTACATATACACTTCAATATTTGCTTTTCTTTTTATCCCACACATCAAATAATGGCTTTTGGACTGATTAAAAAATGGTTGTAAAATGCTATCCTAAAGCTTTCTGTGCCTGGAAGAAGCCTCAAGTATTTCACAAATCTTTTCGGCCTTGATAAGACCAGTATTCTTCCCAAACCACTATTAACTGGGCCAGCATGAAGGCTAAACATGTTAATGAACTTGCTTGCCACAGAATCTGGCTATTTGAGTTAAATCTGTGGGACCCCAGTGAGAGGAAGAAAAGGCCTCCTACAAGCCATGTTCTAGTTTCTATACACAAGCATGGCAACTGGATATCACACCTGCCCATATTAAAAAACAAAAAGACCCAAAAGTACAACTTTAACAAACATTCTAAAAAAGAAGAACTTTGAATCTAGTTTTCTTTTTGTCTTCCTTTTTCTGTATGTCAAGGACTGTCTAATACATTTTTAGTACAGTACCTGCCTGCGTTTACACTTCTACCTGCTAGGAACAGTAAATGCTGCTACTTGCAAAATCACATGCTATTCAGAATTGGGTAAGATTTACAGAACAACCTGTAACATAAGAGTTCCTCAATCAAGCTGTGTATTTTCAGTTCTGGGAAATGGATTATACCCAAGCTTTCCAAGCACAGAATTTGCTCTCACAATTGGATATTGTATGAAATTAGTTCGCAGCCCAGAATTGCTGAAACAAACCAATTAAACCTGTGCGAAACACAACCAAATAACCACTGCAAACTTCCAGCGGGGGAGATAAGTGTTCTTTAATCCTGGAGGTTTAAAGAACAAAAATGTCCTTTCAGGCTTAGAGATTTCAATCATAGAATGGAGAATCCATTTAATTCTGTATTGTGTTATTTTAAGTGTAAAATAAGATGTTTTCAAACATAATTTGATTTTGATGTGAAAAAAATGATGTTATATATTAATTATGGATTAATAATAGTTATTCTTTAGAGATTAGAAGGAAAAGTTATTTATGATTTTATATAAAACGCAATGATATAATGGCAAAAAGTCGACTGTGATGTAAATTATTTCTGCTTTTTTCTTAAAAGAAAGAACTTATATGGAAAGTGCTCATACTTTTTCCTTCACTCTATGTCCACAATCCATGGCAACTTGTAGTGTAGAGTTCGCTCCATCTTTTCTTTTTTAAAAACAAGATGTCTCTGTATAGCTCTTGTTGACCAGGTTGGCCTCAAACTCACAGAGACCCACCTGCGTCCCACCTGCTTCAGCCTCCCAAGTTCTGGGATTAAAGGCATGTGCCACCACCATCGGGCCACCGTATCTTAACTGAAATCTGCATCTGTCACTGTTCCTTGTATCTTCACTTTAATTGTTTGAGATATAGAGTTTCACCTTATGGTCTAACCTGGCCTTGAACTGCTGGTCTTCCAGACTTAGCCTCCCAATTACAGGAATTCAACATCCAGAAACACCTGCTCAGGTTTTCTATCACCATTTCTCAACTGAATTCACAGGGATAGCTGCTGGTCCTTCCTCAGAAGAATGGGAAATTTCTTTTAAATTTCAGATTGTCAAAAACCTTCTGAAGAAGCAATAAATAATTTCCCTTCCTAGAGGAAAGGAAAAAAATCTTTCATTAAAAAAGAAATGACCAGCCCTCAAAACATACATCATAGTAACATTACACAGACTTAACAAGTTATATTTAGGAAAATATATGTATTACCTGCATATATGAAGGTAATAACAATCATGTAAATAAGAGGCCATGAATTTGAAAGAGAGCAAGAAGTGATATATGAGAGGTTTGGGAGGGGCAAAGGGAATGAAAAAAATGTTGTAATAATATTATAATTAAAAGAAATAATGGTAAAAAGAAATAGGAATTTGTGTAGTAAATTATAAAATAATGTGGATACATATTAAAATTAGGAGTCGAAAATGGTTTAGTTTACACATGAAACCAATCTTACCATTTTGCCTTTATGCTCCTTTATCACATCAAGGGTTTGTAACCCTGTCATAGGATAAGCCAGGACTTACATGTATGTACCTTTTAAACATTTCTTTTATTTCAAATTATACTCAATAATTGGACTTACTGTTGCAGTCTAAACTATGAATATCATAATAGCTTCAAATCCAGAAGATATATTAAATCTCTGAAGTCATCGATCCATGGTATTCGTTTGGACTTCTTGTTTGGGCATAAGGGAAAGAATTCACAACTACAACCAAAGCACCTATTGCAAATGAAATATTCTCCTTACAAAGCTATCACTTTACAATTCCACAAGCAACGCTGGGCCTATTGCAATTGTCTTGCTTCTCGCCAGAGCCTGCCTCTGCTGAATCTGAGAATTGGAACAAAAGGGAAGTAGTCTTTCATCACAAGCCATGGAAAGAAGGAGACTCCGACACTTCCTTAAGGAAAGTGTCTGGAAGCCATGGAGAAATGTATAGCTCAATTAAAAAAACTAAAGTATATGAGAAGACAGCATAGACATTCTTCATTGAGCCTTGAATTTAGAATTTTCAGAAAAAAAAGAGACTACAGAGACAAGGTCAGGAAAACATGTGCCTTATGCAGTAAGGTACTTGCCCAATCTAGACATTTATTCATCTTCCCCATGGTAGTCCCTCAGGCCTCAGGGGCCAAAGGTCCAGGTTTATTGACATTGCTCCTTCACAGTCTATTTTAAGAGAGTATGTGAGTGTTATAGATCTTTGTGTAAACTAGAAAAATGGGTAATACTAGTTAATTATCTAAGCTAGGTTTTAATTTCAGTGGGACAAGTAACCCCTATGTTCAAAACCCATGTTTTCACGAATAGGGTTATATTTCCCTAAGTGGTGTTATTCGGCATTGTGCTGTGTTCCAGCTGTCTTTCATGTTTTCTCTTCTGCAAATCTTAAAATATTTGACATGTTTACAGTACCACAAACCCAACCAACCTATAATTTATGTGAAAAGAACAGTATTTAAATTTAGTGATAGTCTGTGTTACTATAAAATTTCACTGAGAGAATTAGGCAGAGGTAAGGACAA